ACACTGCCATCTTGTGGCCGATATTGATAACTGCAGCCAAGACTTCGCTGCCGTAACAGAGTGTCTTCGGAGGTGGTGTGATGTTCCTCTAAAGCTGCTCTACTCAGACAATGGTTCCTCCAGAGCATGTTAGGTTTCAATGAGTGGTGAGCTGTGAGGAACTGATCTCCTAACTACACAGATCACCAACATTAGGGAGCAAGTTTACACTAACTACTAGGATTATAGGGGTGGCAGGCTTTACTGCCCTCCGAAAAGCAAGTGTGCTGGATCGCTTTTCAGAATCTGGTTTACAGGCACTTAGGATATGATGCTGCTGCCTTAGGATACGATGCTGCACATGCCAAGTGGCTAGCACGTGGTTGCAGCACGGCCCTATTTACTGCAGTGGTTGTGTTTGGCAAGCGACATCGCCTAGCAAACTTGACAGGCGCTTAGGAGACATACTGCTGCCTCTTGAATGCCTTTTTTGAATCCTAAAGTGGGTTTTGTATTGCACTACTGCACCAAAGATGCATGCCAACTAGTTGGCACATGGTTTTATGCCTTTTTTTATCCTACATGGATTTTGCACATTTGGCAAACGGCACCATCTGCCAAACTCAAAAGTTGGTTTGCAGGTGCCTAAGGCATGATACTGCTGCCTCCTGAATGCCTTTTTTATGCTAAGGTTGATTTTGCATTGCAATAGTGCACCACAAATGCATGCCAAGTGGTTGTCACATGGTTTCATGCCTTTTTTCATTCCTAAAGCATATCTCGCATTGCGATACCGCACCACAAATGCATACCAGGTGGTTAGCATGTGCTTGCAGCACAGTCCTATTGACTGTAATCGTCGCGTTTGGCAGGCAGCCCCACCTGCCAAACGCGACAGGTGATTTGAAGACGCTTTAGGAGATAACACTGCTGCTTCCTAAATGCCCTTTAAAAAATCCTAAAGGGGATTTTGTATTGCAATACCACAAACGTGCACCAAGTGGTTTCCACGTGCTTGCAGCACAGTCTTTTCGACTGCAACGGTTGTGTTTGGCAAGTGGCACCACCTGCCAAACTCAACAGGCGGTTTGTAGACGCTTAGGAAACGATACGGCTGCCTTCTGAATGTCTTTTTTTTATCCTAAGGTGGATTTTGCTTTGCAATACCTCACTATAAACGCATACCAAGTGCTTGACACATGGTTTCATGTCTTCTTTTTCTCCTAAGGTGAATTTTGCATTGCAATACCATGCGCAAATGCATGCCGAGTGGTGGGCACATAATTGCAGCACAGTCCTTTTGACTGCAAAGATCACTTTTGTCAAGCGGCACCACCTGCCAAACTTGACAGGCGGTTTGCAGGTGCTTAGGAGACGATACTGCTGCCTCCTGAATTTTTGTTAATCCCAAAGTGGATTTTGCATTGCACTACTGCACCATAAATGCATGCCAAACGGCTGGCACATTATTTCATGCCTTTTTTTTTATCCTATAGTGGAAATTACATTGCAATACCAAACTACAAACATGTGCTACCCCCTGCCATACTCAACATGCTGTAGAAAATTTCCTGTGGTGTGTGTGCACAAAGCAGAGAGACAAAACAGTGCACACCGCTGATATGTAGAAAAACATTTATTAAACACTACTCACATAAAAACACTTTAAAACAGCATATAAAACCCGGCTGCAGTCGCTGTGTCAGGAAAGATCCACGATCCTCTCCACAGCATCCTTGCCAGCTCAGTAACACTCTCAACTCTACATTCTATTGCCATGCTAATACAACACAAGCCGTAAGTATCATTTTTAGCAGGGGTTCCCAGAGACTTGGAAAATACAAATCAAGGGTTCCTCCCAGGTAAAAAGATTGAGAGAGGCTGCCCTAAAGTCACACACCAGCATTACTTCAGCATGTGGGGGGTGGAGGGGATTTGACAAGTTTAGGTCTTTCTATGCAGGAACCCCACATGCTCGGGGATATGTAAAAAAAACATTTCCGCCACTTTATGTAAATTAGGCTTAAAATAGTATTAAACTCTCAAACAGTTTTTCAATATTGAATCCAGAGCAAACAAATATATATTGCCCTGCAAAGTATTTATTAAGTAGTTATTTATATGTTTGCCCAAAAATACTTAGGGGTCTATTCACAAAGCTGCCGAGGGCAGCCGAGTGAATGACCGATCAGAAGTGAAGTGAGCCGAACACTGTTCGGCTATTCACTTCAGGCTGGTACGGCTGAATATTGTCATCATGTTCGCAAACATCACCTCTCTGCTTCCCTGAACTTCCTGTCCAGTACAAGATCACAAGGGACAGAGCAGTCTCCAGCGACTGTTTATCTACTAGCTTGGAAGAGGAAGAAAGGAAGAGCAGGGAGGGGGGTAATGAATTGCCTTGCTGTGTCAGTGTGTTTGTGGGGACACAAACAGCTTCCTAGCACACACAAGGCTGGCTCCATAGGACCCCTGTGCTTTTTTCACAGAGGTGAAAAAAGCACAGATTCACAGAATGGGTGAAACTAGGGCATTGCAAGCCCTAATGTATAACTTCCTCTCCAGCAAGCAGTACAGTACCAGGTCTCTCTCAAAATCCCCTGAGACTAGCAGTCCCAGGCAGAGGTACCTTAGATCCTCAAAAATACTGCATGCGCTATTTTTTTTTTTTTTTTATAATTGACAGTTTTTATTAAAGTTGCATAGTTGAAATACAAAAGTACAAAACCTATGACATGCTTTGTGGCATCAAGATTAATTAACAGTTCACCAAAGAGCCTATTAGGTCCCGCAGTATATCAGAGGGCTGTTTCCATGCTAAGCACAAAATGGGGTAGTCCCTTTTTTTTTACATCATAACAGTCTTATAGTGTTAAACCTTGTCATTACTGTATGGACTATGTTTCAGTCTTTCCAGCAGTTCTCTATTTATGTTGCTCAATGGCTTGCGGATAACCTTTTATCTTGAAGCGTTTTAACTTTATTTAATACATACATAACTTAGCAAGAATAGAGAAATGAAAGAAGAAAAGAAATGAAAGTGTATACGAGCTTCTTCCAGGATGACCCTCTAAATGTACAGCATGAACCAGGTCTCCATCCAAGCCTTTGTCCTCTGCATCCCTCCCCTCCTAAGTAGTCCCCAACTGTGTCCATATACCTCTGTCTCCAATCAACCACTCCCTCTCCTTCAGTCTGTGTTCACTTCGTGGGCATGCCACGCTTTCCATACCTCCTCATGTGCCCCAATTGTATTGTTCAGCCTAGCTGTTAAATACTCCATCACCTGGACGTCCTTGATTCTAGCAAATAGTTCTAGTCTAGAAGGTGGGTAATTCCGTTTCCATTGTAGTGGAATAAGACAGCGATCATGCGCTATTTTTTGCAATTGCACTGGACCGGAACGCAGGCATTGTTGTTCCACGTGTTCTAGTGCGGGTGATCGCACTGTGGACATTGTGACTTCAATGCACCACCACACCCCCTCCCACCCCGGAACACAGGAGGGAGTTTTGTATGCAATACAGTGCGTTCCAACAGCTAACCGTGCTGGAACACACTGTAGTTGGTGTGAACAAGCCCTGAGTCTGTGTTCATTGTTGTCCAGCTTATACCTGTATACAGTCGTGTACAGCAATTAACCTCTGAATGCAGCACCTGTGGCTCCCTGGCAGGAGAAATATGCCAGCATGTACGTTGTAGGGCCACAGGTGGCTGTGTGCATGAGCCCTTATAGACTTGAATTAACTGCAGGTTTAGGGTTCTGAGTATGCAGGGTTTACAGTTTTCTTTTTAACTCAATAGACCTGTCTTTTTTTTAACCTATTTAAATACTGTGCAAACTACAGAGAAGTATCTATTAAATACAACCTGTCAAACATGGGCAATTCAAAGTAAGCAGTTAGTGAAGAAACCTAAGTAAGGGTTACTTTCAGTAGATCAAGAGAATCCATTAACAGTCAAAAATTAGCACTGTAGGGATTGAGCATTCCCTAACCTCATATTAGTCAGTGAGGGCTGCCCATCATATTAATGGACCAAGCTTGACTTTTACTTTTACAGGAAGTTAAGATTTCTGTATAACTTCAGCTGCCTTTATCTATTGATTTGGTGATCATTTTCACAAAGTAAGCACTTTATATATATTTTTTTATTATGTTGTCTTTGAATTGTCCAGGTCTATGACAGGTTTACTTTAATCTAAAACAGCCTCTTGAACTTGGCCACATACACATTTACAAATGTGCAACAAGGACCTTTTGGCGCCATACTCATAGAGAGGAAATCATCCCGCGCCAATCTGGATGTCACCAACTACCACAGCTCTGAACGCCATAGAGGTACTTGGAGGACTCCCTCCAGTCTTGCTAGTATCGTCATCTGCCCCTCCAGATTTAGATGAGTCCATATTCACTTTAGCTGACCTTGGGTCACCAGGGCCCTACACTTAACACATGCTACTTGTCTGGTAGACTTTGAGTTATGTGCATAGGAGATGAGCCCAACACTCAGAGGGTCCTCTTTTATTTGCCCACTCCATTTGTATCTTTTTACTCCCTTTGTGTCTCTTGATATCTACAGTATAAGGGACACTTCAACTGAAGTCTGTCTTCTCTACCTATAAGCTATTATTAGTCCTTCTGTCAAATGAGTATATAGCCCTACCTATATAAATCTCATGTAATAATAATAATAATAATACCTAAGTATCTCATCTAGACCATCTATTCTAAAACTGAGACCTGCCATTCAAAAAAAAAAACAAGAACCTTTAGAAACATTTCATTCTAGCATTTTCTACCTATGCTTTGCTTAATTGATGCTAGTGTGTGTGTTTTTCTGTGTGTTACAAATGCAATGAAAATCTGTTTAACAATTACATTAGTTTTCATTCATAACACAGAGTAGGTGAGGCC